GGCCAGTAGCTTGTACTGATACTACACACAAACCTGTGTATGCGCAAGGCACCCTGGCAAGTATCCCCGGAACTCATGAAGCTCGGACGCTTCAAACCGAGTGAACGGCTCACACCATCAGAAAGTTATTTAGAGTCACGATGATTGCAGCGGTGCGACACAACAGCAGCCCAGACCTTCCAGACCTCAAGCGGCAACATCGCCCAAAGCACAAATGGATGACCTGCACGTCACACCCTGGATCCGTGCTGCTCTAGAACCCAGCACTTTCTGGTTCCAGATTCCACTGCTCAGGGCGCCGCTGCCCTTGTGAGAGCAGCTCATTCTGTTGCAGCACACCAGCCGGCAGGCTGCCTCAATACCCGAAGCTGGATCTATCTACCTGTCTGCCGATCTGTCTACCGATCTATCGATCTATCATCTGAATCCATCGATCGATCTATCCAACTAACCGACTGACTGACTGACTAACAAATAAGCTAAACAAACAACAAATCATACTACCTAACTAGCCAGCTAGCTGGTGGCTAACTAACTCACTCACTCACTCCCTCACTCACTAACTAACTAACTAACTAACTAACTAACTAGCTACCTAGCAGACTAACTAACTAACTAACTAACTAACTAACTAACTAGCTAACTAATTAACCAACTAACCAACTAACCAACTAACCAACTAACCAACTAACTAACCAACTAACCAACTGTCCGTTGTGTGACGCTTGAAACTCACTGTGGCAGAACTCGAAAGGTGCAAGAATTTGGGTCCAGATGACAGTGGTTGCATTTCGGTGTAAGGGTTCGCAACACGCTCGCAGGAAAAGGCTGTCAAGCCAGAGATGAGGTCTGTCACCGATATTCCCAACATGTCAGCATGCGCAGGCTAGACTCTGGAATGAAGGCTTGTAGCTCTAGCGAACTCACACACTTCTCAAGGCCCGTTGCAACCCCGTTGTAAGCAGGATGTTCAAACCGATGCGGATCACAAGCGCTAGACCGAGCTCTACTCGTCGTATCACCGTGTCACCATTATCGTCGTCATCATCATCACGACCATCATCGTCATCACAGTCTGGCGTCGAGTCAGCAGTATCTTCACGTGATGATGACATGCCGTCATCATTGTCACTTCTGTCAGTGTCACCGTCATCATCGTCATCGCCTTGATCCGGAGGGAAAACGCCGCTCTGCACACGAACGTTAGTTCTCCACAGGCATGTCGCCTCGTCCGCTGCGGGGCAGCCAGGCCTTTTGATCCGTTGTTTTAAAGATTCTGGTTCGACTGGCAGCAACTGGGCAGGCCAAGCATGCATGATTTTGTTGAATGTGTATACGTGTGTGTGTGTGGCATACGCTCACGCAAAAGCCATCGTCCGAGGCCCCATTTAAAGGTCTCGGTTAGCTTGCCCGAACTGTCCACGACACATGCTTCACAGGCGTTTAAACCCGCGCAAGCCGTTGCCTCGCCTCCATCAAAGCTTTTAGGCACACGCTCGGCACACAGAGGCCCACCACACGAGAGATGACGACACCTTTGATCCATCGGCCGAACGGTGGTTCCTGCTTTCTCAAAACCATTCAAGACCTAGGAATTGTAGGAATGCAGGAACTGCCCCAAAGCCCTCTCGCAGGACCTGGGCGATGCTGGGCCGACCGGCCCTGCCCAGGCTCCACGCCTTCCGGTGGCCAACAGCACGTGGTACGGGGAGGCCGGGTGCAGACCGACTTCCGGACCTCTGCATGACTTCAGGGTTGTATTGCAGATGCTCGTCTGGCGGCTTGGCGGCTAGGCAATAAGAAAGGTTCCCCAAATTCTCTCAGGGCTATATAGGAGTGGAACAACGCTTGCACGTCTTCGTCTTTGGTTTGTGATCTTTTTGGAGCTCTTACTCTGCCGGGCTGGCTTTTGATCCAGCTGTGGAGCCGTATACATCCGACGGTCGTGCGTTGATGATGTTGATGTTCAAGGTCTGTCTTATGAAATCTGATCACCTCATGGATCCTGTCATGCTTAGAACTCCAGACGTCACATGCAGGCCACCGGATAGATGGAATCAGGCAAAACGTCTTTCGGGCACAGGCAGTGGACTCGGGACTTCCCCTGCCTCCAGCCGGAAGCCTGGGAGATGTCAGCCAGGGCCACAGCTGATTCTTGTTGGTAGGGATTGAGCTGACTCCTATCTCTCGTCTTCTGAACACTACGCTTGGTCCGCCTTTTCGTTTCCTGGTGTTCCTGTCCTTGGACAGAACGCAGCCGCTTGTCTTGGGAACTCGTTTGGACAGAAACCGAGCTTGAGTTCTTCTTCCTTCTTGCGAATGGCTATCTGTCATTTCTCTGTTATTTGGGCATTAACCCTAAACCCTAACCCTTGCTACTTTAATGATGTGCCTTGGTGGGGCTCTCCAGTGATACAGGCTGGACTAATAGATGAAGCCAAGGAGGTTGTAGGCTTCCGCGTTTGAGGTTCTCAGGACTTGGGACCGCGATCCTCTAGCAATAATATACGTCATCGGACAATGCATACGATCACTGATGCGATTCCTCGTGTGTTTGCAGGCTGAGTAGGCGTTTGCACCAAGGCGATCCTCGCAATTCTTGTGCGTGATATTGAATACGGCTAGCACCTGTGCACCGCTGGTCTTTTGCAACATCTGAGCTTTAACATTTTGAGTATAAACTTGCGCCAACCCGACAACCCGGAGCGATATCACGTCGCTGATTTTGCAGCTGTATCAGGTGATCTCCTGACGCTTGCACAAGGCTCTATTCAGGGATTTTTCTCGCTTCGAGACATCCGGAACGAACCGTCCGTTCTGGATCCGGACATTGCAGGACGTTAAAGGTTTCACTGATGGCGTCCTCGGCAGTACAAGTAAAGGCAAAATTCAGCCAGCAGTTGCGACACACATCCATGCCGGGGCGTATTGTGTGGTCAGGCCTTTCTCGGCACAAGGGCGCCGAACTGCATCGTCGTTATGTGCTCATCAAGGACTTCATCCGTGCCATGGTAGACCACAGCACGAGTCTTCCGCCGCCACGACAGAGACCACGAGACGACTACGAAAGCATCGACGGCCCAGTGTGTGTGTGTGTCCATACGTGTTGTTTTGTCTTTTTTCTCTCTCTTTCTATCTCTTTCTCTCTCTCTCTCTCCCCACATATATGTATATGGACAATGTAAACGTTGAAATGCTTGCTGACAGCGAAGTGAATTTCTGGTGGCACCCAGCTCCCAACGCTGCCGCAGGACAGTCAGAGCCTTCTACAGCAGCTGCATAACGCGGTGGCAGGGTCGCCAAGACATGTTGACCCCGGAAAGTTCGGACCACACTTGATGAAGTTGTTGGTTAAAACTACTGGGATATGGTTGCTGCACGGGCAACATGTACAACTCCCCAAGCACGCACAGAGCCAAAAGCCAGCACCTTACCAGTTGTTCGAGCAGCTTTTGAACGCTTTGGCCTTGGGTTGACGGCTACATTGCGAGGCTCTGCCGTTCGATTGCATACTGCAAAAAGTTCCCAGTGTGCTTTCTTGTTGGGTGACTCTAGCCTCCAGTCGAGGCGACCAGCGCGGGCACGGAGATCCAGGCCAAGCTGACAGAAGCGCAGAGCTCCCACCAAGAGGCCTTCGAGAGGGCCGGGAGGGATTTTTTTCAAGATCCAGGATGTCAGGCTGGGTGTTGTCCATCCATGACTGCTCTTGCTAACATACTATTACTACCATCGCCGAAATTTGCAAGATCAATGCCGTCGTCATCCTCTTCACCATCACCGCACCACCCTGACCTTCGTTCTGCTGATCGGATATTCCGGTTGCTACAAACCAATCACGGTCCTGCCACTTGTTGCCTAAGGTTTGAACGTGTGCCTTCTTCCTGATCATTCTCGTGAGTGCCGCCCTTGTTGATGAACAGATCCAGACCTATTAGCACTGCAGCCCCTTCTGCTGCTGCTGCTGCTGCTGCTGCTGCCGCCGCCCCGCAACGATTATGACGACAGCGACAGCGACTGCCTAGTTATTACGACCACGACGACGACGGCGACTTTTGCTCATGCCCCTTATTATTCTTCTGTTGAAATACGTCAATGTTTCAGCTATGCAATACGGGGTTTGGGCCCTGAAGGCACAGACAGCTTATGAAGAGAAGAGCGCCGAGTTCCTGGCTCAGCGGCTTCTGTTTTGAGAGGGAAGGTGCAAGTAGTTTTCATGGTTCTTTGGCAATAGGACTTGGCGTCTTTTCTGGGCTCGTGGTCTCGACGAAAAGTCAAGTCTAGGTACACCTCTTTCCCCCAACTCACCGTTCATACAAACCTGACCAAATGTCGACATTTGCTTTGCCAACTCTTTTGGAAGAAGCTCGAGTTTCTGCAGCGCCTTGCATCTGCTGCCGGCCCACTGGAACGGAGCTACCTGACTTTTCACATGCATGTTCAGGTCGGACAGTCTTGTTTGCATCAGCGGATCATATATGAGCTCAAAGCCACTCAAAGCGAATGGGGCAGAGTTGCCTAAAGAGACTTGTCCAAAACCGTGCTCAGGCATAAGGTGCTGAACGATAGACTGACGCAGCTGCTGGACGAGGCATCTCTGCAGTCCGACACCCCAACTGGGAATCTGGATTGTCATGATTCGCAGTTTGATCAGCCTGGGAGTTGTTGCGGTGACTGCGGGCACTCCGAACGACTTTGAAACAGTGGCTGGAATCGTTCAGTGCTGTATGCTGCTGGGACGTTCCCATCGAACTTGACCAAGCGCAGGATTCCTGGACCCATCACGAACCCCCCAAGTGTCCGTGGGGTTGTCGAGAGTTGGGTTGCGGGAGGGTTTTTTTGCAGCAGGGAGGGTGGAGTTTTTCAGATTGAACGGTTGAGTTGGGGAAATTCTGTTTGCGGCTTTGCGGCAAAGACATCAGCGAAGACGACAGGTTCCTTCGTGCTCGATGCAGTGGAGTTTGGGCATATGGTCCTAAAGTTCTGCAGGAGCCTATAGTGCCATGAACCGGCCGGATGACCGAGTATTTGCAGACGTTCGCTGGGCCATGACTGGAGCTCCGATTCGAGAGCTACTTGTCGATGCCGGCACAAGGGTCAGTGAGCTGAAAGAGACATTGGAGCAGCCGGCCAGGACACCCGCTCGGTTTCTAGAGCTCCTTTGCGACGGAGCTGTGCTCTCTGACGACGCCTGTGCCTCTTACAGCTTCGCGCGGTCTGAGCACGTGGAGCTCCTGGTCTTGCGGAAAGAGCCTCCGAGGCTTCTGGATTTCCTCCTGTCGGCAGACCTAAGAAGCGAAAGCGAGACGCAGGCAGCAAAGAGTTGCATCGAAGCAAAGTACATCCTGGAAGCTGCGGGCTGCATGGTAAACGAGCGGGACGTGAGGCGGGAGGAAGGCCTTGGCTATCTTGGCTTGTGCTTCTGGGATTGCTTTGACCTCTGCACGCCCCTGCATTACGCAGCCGCTTTGGGCCAGGCTTTCGTCTGCCAGGCCTTGCTGGATCACCCAGCTTTTTCAGCTGCTGATGCACTGGCCGATGTGGGTCTGCCTTGCGCTTGCTACTGCTGCCTTCCAGAATTACTGGGTCTAGAGTCCGTCACAGCCTTGCACACGGCTATTCTGTGGCACAACGAAGAGATTTGTTCGCTCCTCCTGGATCACAATCGTTTTACCGCTGTTGCCACAGCGAATGCTGCAGGTCAGACAGCTCTTCATCTGGCCGTGCTAGTGAAAAGTCGAGAGGTAGCGCAGATGGTGCTCGCCGATGGCCGGGTGGACATGAATGCCCAGACCAACGAGGGCAACACAGCACTACAGCTGGCTTTGCGACAGCGCCAGTTTCCGTGCATGTCCATTGCCACATCCGACAGGATCATCGCAGCGCTGCTCGAGCATGGAAGCAGCAGCGACTACTGGGATGTTTTCGAGGAAGCTGTGGAGCACAGGGACATACGGCTGGTGCAGGTGGCCTTAGAGTGCCGTCACGGTATTGACCAGATGCTGGTTGGAGTCCTTGTAGGAAAAGGCCGCCCGAACATGAGCCTCCTATTTTCAGAACCGGAAGCAGCAAAGGAAGCCCACTCCCGCAAACGGTTTCTCAAGAAGCAGAAGAAGGACAGAACACTGGCAAGGAGGCTTCCCAGTCCTGACGCAAGGAAGGCGGTCCGTCGTCCCTCAAAATCCAGAAACAGCTGGAAGCGGACCGAGTTTGACTTCTCCTTCTGTCCCGGCAGTCTATGAAGTTGTGGCAATTAGTTCACATTCATGTACAGTGTACAGGCCGCAGGCCAGTGCATGGCAGATCGCAGCCCAATTAGGCTTTGAACTTGCACTTTCTGGCCAGCAGGGTCCAACAAAGGAGCCTCTATGATCGGCTGGCACGAGGCAGCTCAAGGGCATCTAGGTGCTCAGGCTACATGCATACTTCCCAGAGTCCCCGAGGTATCGACAGCAACTGCAAGCCCATACCCAAGCGCCCAGCCCAAGGAGCAACTCAAATGCTATGGCTGGAATGAAAGCCTCGAGCGTGATGTCTCGACAACGAATCTGTCAAGGAGGTATGAGGCCTATGATATGCATTTTTGCGAATTCCTCTGCGCCAGGCACAGTCCTCATCCCCCAAAGACCTAGCAGATCCTAGCAGTAGTAACTGTGCAAGACCTCTCGGGCAGTCCCACACCCCACTGTCTTTGCCGGTTGTCGAGTAAAGCACCAAGCATGCACTAAGCCAAACCCGTGCAACAGCACAGACCGGACCCCAAATCAAGAACAAAACATGTGGCTCTAATCATGCAGGTGGTGAACACATGTATCCAGAAGAGCAACGCCCTGGAGGTGCACCTGCAATTGCAGGGTCGTTACCAGCAACCTGTCTTTGAGTTGGAATCAGGCTTGGGCTTCACTTTCGCCGGCCACGAGTCTAGGCGGCTAATGACCATATGCGATCGCAGTCGCGGTCATTGCAGTTCTCTGTTGCTGCCTCAGCGAGAGTGAAATAGAGGCATGCTGTATTACAGCCGTCAAGCGGAATGCCTTGAGCTGTTCTCTTCGGAACTGTCGAAGCCATAAAAGCCCCTAAACCCTAATCTTTAGAGATTCTTTGCATTCACGGAACGGGTTCGAAGCTTAACCGAAATAGGCTGACATCTTGCAAGTCTTTGGCTATCGAGGTGACTAATTGAGTCAGGCGCTCTCTTCACGAAGGTCCCACACAGATGTATAGTTTGATTGCTCTCGTAGAACTGCACTTCCCTCGGCTGCCGGCGTCTGCCAGGCAGCAGAAAACTCCAAACAGCAGGCTGATTGGGGTGTTGCCGTTGTGAGTTGTCCTTCGGGCTGGGTTCGGATTTGAACTTCCACGCGTCGAGGCCACCATGTAAGACCAATCATATGTTCGCGGCTTGATCGTTTCTTGGATGCTGATATAAAGAGTAGCGCTGTTCTAGATCGAGCGGACTGACGTAGTGCTCTTGCCAGTGCTGCTTTCGACGGTTCAAGCATGTGGGTGTCGCCCAAAGCGGGTGTCAGCGCACCAGCCGAGAAGTGCTTCGCGTCAAGTAATGCCATGCACTCATATCAATCGCGGTGAGCGGCCAGTGGGTGCCTAATTAGGATGAAATTTGTCAGCTTTATCACAAGGCCGGGCCCTCTTTCTGAAACTTTGCTGCCGGCAGGTCGAGCGGGACCTCGAAGCTCATCGTTTCCAGCTCATCAACTTTTCCAAACAGGCGTCTGGAAATAGTATATTCATACTTTAATAATATCAGGCTATGCTTTGGTGGCAGCGAGATCTGCAATTGCACCCGGCAAATTTTGCATCCAGAGTTGCTTTTTCTTGTCAGTCGATGCCCGGATTGGCGCACGTGGAGATTTTGCTGTGAACGTGCTTCAGTCTAGAATCTAGAACAACAGCCCAGCAGCACAATGCAGGCATTGGCAGGTGCCCGATGCCATGACAGCACGTGATGTGCTGTGCAGACTTCAAGTGAAAAGAAGAGTCAGGCATCAATGCGACTCGAAATATGCTAGAGACGACACAATCTGCCTCCCAGTTGAGACACCTGACAAGGGTTGGTGAGAGCCCTGAGTTGGCCACCACAGGAATCGTGGGCGGATAGGTAGGTAGGCAGGTAGGTAGGTAGGCCGGCAGGTGGGTAGGTCGGGCCGGGGGGGCGGGCGTGATATGTATGTGTGTATGTGCGTATGTATATATATATATATATATACACACATATATAGAGTGTGTGTGTGTGTGTGTGTACGTATGTACGTATGTACGTATGTAGGTAGGTATGTAGGTATGCAGGTATGTAGGTATGTGGAGCATCCGGTGGCCAGGACTACGCGGAGTTGAAGAAGGCGCTGAACCAGAGCTGTCCAACAGGCGAGGAGAAGGAGACAGGGCCTCAGACGCCAGTTTTCAACAACCTGAGCCCCGTCGACCTGAGAAGGTGCGTCAGCGGGCAGGACAGTGGCGAACCTGACACCCAGACTCTTAAACCCCAAATCCCATAGTCCGCGTCTCCTCTCACGGGTCCAGATGCAATGATGTAAATGCTGTCATACGCTGACGCTGACCAAGAGTAGAGAAATTGCAAGCAACTGATGGTCAGACCAGCATGGGAAAAGGCCTTTGCCTGACTCCTCAAGCGTGATTTCTTGAAGCGTGTTTCCTTGCAGCCGTGAGAGAAACGAGGCGTTCGCCTTTGATCGCGCTCTTTGAGATGTGCTGCTTGCTTCTGAGAGCCTCAGCCGCCCCCACCCGCCCGCGGCTTAGCGATAGCAGCTAAGAAGCAGGTCACGGCTCTTATGGAAGGAAAAGCAAGCTAAAGGGTCGAGGCAGGTGGAGCTCATGCCCCTCTTGATACTGGCTTTCTGCAATGTTGGTGCGATGCTTGCACTGTCGACCGGGTTGCATGAAGCAGGGCTTACACTGTCTCGGCTCGGCTTCTGTGCGATTCGTATTCAGGCCATTGGGCTTGGGTGCTCCAGGAAAACGTGAATGGATAATCATAGGCCGGGTAAAAGGACAAGTTTGTATTTCTGAGTTTAATTCGGCAAAGAGTCAGGCTTCGAGGGAATCGGGAAGACATGGCAAGGAACCTTCCTTCAGCCGAGTCCGATCCCTGAGCCAAAAATAAACCCCAACCAGGAACGTGGTACTGTCAGCCCGGTATTGCATTTAGGTACTTGTAGCCACGATGATTTGTTTCACGGTCTGAGCCTTTTCAATCAAGCTGTCAAGACACAGAAGCCTAGTCTGGGTCTGGGATGTGCGGTTGCTCTTCGGGACAGGTGAGGCCATGTAGAGCATGTCCAGATTTCACTGTAACGTCGCATGTCAGAACTACAGCTACACTTGAAGATGTAAGTTTGCAGGCGAGGACGTCCGCAGCACCATCGGAGATCCGCTGTTTGCGACGAAGCTTGCCGCTGTGGATGTGGAGTCCTTTCCAGGGGACGGGCTCCTGTCAGAGGGATTACATTGATTACACTTTGTGCAAGACTGTCTTTGTGTACGGCCCCAACATTGGGTATTCTTGCATTTTCGAACCTCAGCTCGCCTTCGGATATTGGTTGGGGGCTCTTATACCTGAATGAGAAGTGCCTTCTTCTGTGAGGATAGGTCAAAAGTCAAACGTCAAGCTATAGCTTCTACAAAGGGACAAAGACCAGACCGAAAAGCGCTCGCCTCGGCGAAGTGTTGTACCATCTCCCGCATAGTCTGAGAAGCTGAGAAGCCAGGGCCGTGAAGTGTGAGTGTCCGCTTCGTCTACCCTTTGAGTTTAGCGGAGTTTAGCGGATTCTCGGATTCTGAGATTGCTGAGTGGTTTAGGACTTCGGCTTTACACTGCCACGCAGGACCTTCTCCCAGTGTTGGCAGAGGCTGCGGCCGTTGCAGACACTCGAGACTACATGGACGTGAAGGTGACGAGCCGGGGACGGGAGGGAAATGTTTGTGCTTCGGTTGAAGTACCGCTCATAGAAGACGGACAGTGCAATCGATGTGGGATTTGAAGATCCTTCGTTGGTCGTGCAATGCTGGCCGTGAAAGTCACAAAGCCGCGGTTTCCTTAGCTCAGAGTTGGAAAATCCAACAAATTATTCTGTGTGTTTAGACGTCCCAAAATGTCCAAGTCTCCCTGAACCGAAAACCGGAAGCACCGGCTTTTCCTTAGAGTCGGATTCGCATTGTGTTTTCGAAGTGTGTCCCAGCCAGCTGGACCACCAGAATCTTGGCAGGCCTTAGCCGCGGTGGCCAATGTAGCATTCCCTGCATATCAATGTGCCGGGGGCCCGTGCTTGATGTCTTTACAGCATTTTACAGCATTGCAGCTACCTGGAGCTTTGGGGCTTGAGCGCTTGTATGGGTAACAGGGTGATTGGGTGTTGAAGTGCCGATGCTTGATGGCTTCTCATTCTGCTCAAACTATGCTCGCAATACTAAGCGCGGAACTTGTGCTATGTTTTCACGACCCCGAAGTTTGCGGTCGTGAAGAGAACCGTCTTCATGAGCCCGGCGTACTTTTTCAGATCTGTTGCAATTCCAAGGGGCACCTCCAGTGAGTTGTCAGAGCGGTCTTCATCTTGAGGTCAACCTCGCATGCTTGCTTTTGGGAATCCTGTACCCATGCTTGAAAAGCCAGGACCCTTCCGTTGCAGGAGTCTAAATGGGTTTAGGTCAGTTTAGGACCGTCTCCGCCTGACTTGAGGTCTCCCACTCCTTGAAGATGCCAGCGCTCAAGGCCATGCATCACGCATTAGGTTTTCAGAAGCTGTAAACTATACCTGAAGTCATCTGAAGTGTTTGGGGGCTCAGCAGATGGCAATGCCTACCTGTAGACCTGTGTTGACCGTGTCTGAAAGACTCCTCTAATGCCTCAGGCCTGTTGGCCAGATTGTCCACACGGCACGACAGGTTAGGCTAAGTCTAAGTCGAGCTTGTGGCATGGGCTGCCAGTGCAAGAAGCTGTGCCACTGCTTCGAGAAGGTCCGCTTCGAACATTAAAGAAGGGGATGGAGTAATTACATTTCTGCCGACCTTTCAGTGTCGGATATGTTCGGGAATCTGCCAAACCTATCCGTAGCCTTGAAGGATCGTTTTTGCGACCTCAGCCTAGATGCAAAGATCCGAAACCCTCAGTTGCACGCAACTTGTGGAGAATATGCATCAAGACCAAAGACTCTTTCATCTGTGCTTGCGAGCTTTCCAACCCAAGCGAAACAGCGATGAGACACCA